TCACATACCCTGAGTGGCCCCATTTACCCTTGGTGGCTACCTTTAGTGGGCCCACTGAGGACAGGACGGCCCTGAGGGTACCCTCAGTAGGTCCATTTACCCTGAGTGTACCTGGGCCCACTGAGGGTACGCACGGTGCGCCCATGTACCCTCAGCGGTCCCGCTGAGGACAGGATGGCCCTGATGGTATGGGGAGTCGTGGGCTGACTACTCAAATTAGTTCATAGTGGGTCCACTGAGGGGACATGGACCCAGGTACCAGGTAAATGGGATACCGGGTAAATTGGCCCAGGTACTGGATACATGGACCAAGGTACCACATACATGGGCCCAGGTGCCACGTACATGGGCCCTCGGTATCGGGTACGTGGGCCATCCTGTCAGTGGCCCTGGTACATGGAACTGCAGATGCACTGAGGACCAGACCACCCTGCGGGACTGGGGACCTCCCAGCCGATCCCCTGCCTCCCCGGTGCTGAAGTGTTCCCCTTAGCTTATTTGGGCAGCACCACTGTTACATGCTGCGCCTGCACACGGGCCCCATTTGAGGGGCCCGACGGTTGCTGAGGGCCCCCCAGGCCGCATGGCCATCAGACATGCACCCTGGAGCCCCACGGCGGCCCCCAGGCCACATACGGCAAATAGGCAGCATCTATTTATTTATTTATTTATTTATTTATTTATTTATTTATTTATTTATTTATCTATTTATTTATTTATTTATTTATTTATCTATTTATTTATTTACTTACCTGCTGCCCCGTCGCTGTCTGTGCAGGTGTCGTTCCGGACTTGCAGTCCCCAAGGCACGACCTTGGGACTGGGTACCGGAGGCAGGGCCTACAAAAAGGCCAGGCGCGTTTTGTTGGCGCCCTGCTGCATCAGCAGCACAGTCTGGATGTCCGGTAGGGACCCAGACCGGCTGGGCCGTTTTGAGGCCAGCACCAGGTAGGTCCAGCCTCGCCCAGCGCTACATATAGCTGGGCAGAGGCTGGGCAACGGACAGTTCGGGTAGCTCACTTTTGAGCGACACGCTGCTGGTTGGAGGCTGCGCTATTTTGCGCTGCGCTGCAGGAGGCTGCGCTATTTTGTGCTGCGCTGCAAGGCTGGACGGAGCGGCACAGGAGGTAGTGGGAGGCGGAGGCCATACCTGTAGCGGCGAGCTTACCTGGCGCCATAGCTGGGGTCTCCACGTGGTACCTGCACAGAACAAACACGGCAGTTAGTACGGCGGCCGTTACCTGCAGGTGAGGCAGCGAGAAGGGCGACATCTTCTTCTCCCTTCTCGCTCTCCATCCCTCCTCCTTCTTCCTCCTTTCCTCCTCCTTCCTCCTCCTTCCTCCTTCTTCTTCTTCTTCATCATCTTCTTCTTATTCAGATATGAGAGAGAGAGAGGTTACAGTCCGAGGTTACTGGCAGAGGATACAGGCAGAGGTTACAGTGGGCATTGTGCCCAGGATCTGATTCGACATTGTTGAGGCAGACATTGATTGGACATCGACAAGGGACTATTTTTGGACTCCGCTATTGCGATCTTGGTCTTCTCCCTCACCGCCATCTTTGTCTCTCTCCTCCCTCCATCTTTCAGCCGTGGTATCTCCCCATGTGCGCGCGCAAGGAGGGACCTTTCTTCTTCGTGTGCGGTCCCTCATCTCCCTCTCACATGTGTGATGTATGATGGGATGTCGTGTCAGTCCCGGTCAGGTCAGGACTTATCTTCAAATCTCCGCTGCGCTACTTTTGTGCCATTTCGTATGTATCAGGGTGTACATTGCCTGTTGATGTTGCACTGACATTGCATTGTCCATTCAGTCCTTTTCATCACATTGCGGATCCTTGGATATACATACATTGCCCAACTGGGCATGTATCAACCACCTTGGCAGCCATAACATGCCCTTGCTGTGTAAAAATCAAAAGAACCACCACCATCACTGCTATCCCCTCCCCCGCACCCCCCCCAAACCAAGTTATCCCCCAAAGTTGCCTGGGCTTACAGGGAGGTCAGTCGCCACCCCCCCACTTGCTTCGCTGCACAAGCAGCGAAAGAGGGTGGCTTCCAGAGAAGTTCGTGTTTGAATGGAATATCCGTGGAATAGAAAATTCGGTGAGGGGGAAGAACTCATGCCCAGATAAATTCAGAGCAAGAAAGAAAAATTAGAAAATTCAAAAGTTCACCTGGATTTGAACGTGGGCCTGCATTTCAACACTTCATGGGTGTGCCAACTGAGCTAGGCCCGTCCTGATTTACCTCCCTAAACTCAGATCTCCCTCAAGTTTTCTCACACCTACCTATACTCAGTTTCCTCAAATAACTGAGAAAGGATTCACGCTGCAGACATCCCGAATTCCAGTCCCAAGGTCCCAAATTGTCCCGGTCCCAGTTGGAACCAGTCCCAGGCTGGCCCATTAGACTGGGTCCTAGCGTCCGTGGGTTGAAGTGTTGTAGGCCGGTAGGTGTCAGTGCAATAAATCGCAGTATCCCAGTGGGACCGTACACTAACCGTGTTTGCTGTCTCCTTGGTTTGGGCCTTGCTGGACTTGATCCCGTGACCTGTAATTTGTACACTCGTTTTTTCAGCTTTGAGCCCTACTGGGCTTGATCCTTAGACCTGTAGCTAGTAGTCTCTATTTGGCAGTCTTAGACCCTTAGGCTTCACTGTTTTGTCGTTTTCTGCAGTTGCCGAAGTCAAACCCGAGACTCGATCCCATGACCTGTAGTGTGTTTGTGGTGATTGACTGTTTTTGAGCCTTATTGGGCTCGAACCTTGAACCTGTCACTAGTAGTCTCTACTTCGTAGTCTTAGGCCTTTCAGCCTTGTTGTTTTGTCCTTTTCTGCCCTTCTGGAAACTGGTAGGCCCGTAGGTCTTTCTTTTGTGTGTCCTAGCCTTGGGTCCCTTAGTCTAGGTTTCCATCTAGATGCATGCAGGTAGATCTTGACTGTTTGACCGTCGATGTTTGCTGTTTGGATGATCCGATAGGTCTGTAGGTGGCTGCTGTGTTGTAGGTCTAGGGAAGTCGGGTAGAAGTAGGCAGAGGCCGACGAGTTTGGGGTTCTTTTCGTTGCTCTTCTTCTCACGGTCTTGGTGGAGGTCGCGTTGCTTCCCTGCTGCACTATTGTGGGCATGTACGCAGGGCATCTTCTCCACATGCTGCTGGCGGCCATAGCTGGGGCCGGCCAGCTCCATTGGTGACAGCGCTGGGCTCGGCACCCAAGTGCTGATGAGCGCTTCCTCATATTTGTGTGCTTGTTGGGGTTTGGTCAGCTGCCGCCAAAGCTGCACTTTCAGTGGTTCTTCTTCGACAGGGAAGATCTTCATCTTCATCGAGTTGCTGTTCTCTTCTTCATCATCCTGGGAGCTGTGCTCCCCTGCTGAGTGGACACTTGATCTGCAGTGCTTCTTGAGTGGTGCAGAGAGGGGTGTTGGATTTAGGAGGGTGTGTGGCGATTGACAGGCTGGATAGGTTGGGTGCTTGCAAGCACCATAGCTAGAGCTTGAGGAAGAGGGAGGAAGAAGAAGACTCCCGGATACTGCGATGAAATCTTGTAAATAATTTGTCCATGGGTGTTGATAATCCTTGGAAATTTGTGCTGTTTATTGACTTGGGTAGAGACGGTAATTAGAATTGATTTTCATTTCAATTCCATTTTCGGTGTTTGTGTGCTTCCTTCTGTGTATTCTTATCATCCAGTGTGGTGTGGATTGCTCCCTCCAAAGGTCACTTGTCATTGCACATGTGTATGGGAACATGTGGATGCCCTGTTGGATCTCGTTTAAATCAGGTACATAACATCAGTACCGAAATGTCACACAGGTCGTTGGAAGTCAGTTAGGTACCCGACACGAAACGTCCAGACTCCAGACCAGTCCAGTGCAGTCCAGTCGCAAGTCCTATTTTCGCAGCATGTCCCAGGAAAGTCCGGAAGCAACCGGACCGACAAAATCATTGCAGCAGACAGGCTGCGGCCGACCGGTACCGGTCCGAAGCAGGCCAAGCCAAGTCCAACTCTATATTTAGCTGCTAGAGTGCAGCGGCTCACCAGTTGTTCATTTGCAAGATGCGCAAGCGCTGCTGCTGCTTGTGCGTTGAGGCAACTTGGGCACATCAAGGAGGAAGGAGGAAGAAGGCGCTTGAGGGATACTCCATCACTAGCATAGTGAAGTAGGAGTTCCAATGGTCATAGCTGCCAAGCTGGAGGTTTATCTGAGTGGGTGTAGGGTTAGCACAGAGAGAGAGAGAGAGAGAGAGAGAGAGAGAGAGAGAGAGAGAGAGAGAGAGAGAGAGAGAGAGAGAGAGAGAGAGAGAGAGAGAGA